CCCCCCCCCCCCCCCCCCCCCAAAAGAAAAGAAGATTTTCTAAGGTATATTGTGTGTAGCCAAGACGTTATGCTTACCTCCCCCATGGAAGGGGATTGGGATTTCCAAAGGGGAGGGGAGGGTCTGAGGAGGATATATTGAGGATATATCTTTTTATCTTAATAATTTTCCAATAATCAATGGTAGGGCAGAAAGCTTACAGTATTTCACTGTATTCTTGGTAAGGTCTTGATGATTATATTCTGCAGGGGCTTTGGGGAAAAAGACAAAGTTTCAACAAGAATTTTTATCGGTGCTAAAGTTAGACATCAATCGTGACGGTTCATCAGGTAACCTTGGAACATTTTTATAATATATTATTACGTCATAACTATAATCATTGTTAATAACTATGGTATAATTTGAGACTTGAGTATAGAGTTTGTCGAGCTGTGATTGGTCAAGGGACCGGTGATTCTGAGACGATAATCACCACTGGAGGGGTGATTATGAGGTTTTCCAAAGTTTTCCAGATCTGAAGTAATGCTAAAACGTTTTGTTTTTTTTAATCCAGAATTTCTACTTTTCTCTGATATTCAAGTCTAAAATTATACTAAAACAATTATTTGATTGTTGTTGTGTTGYTGTAGTGCTCAACTTGTACATTAAATAATGGATTTTCTTTTTCTTAATTTTTCCCATTTTTGAAAAAAGAAATTCAATCAGTTGATAATGTAGACGTCAATGGACTTCCAAAGGTTAGTACTGAACTATCGCCAACTGGTAAATGGTAATAAATCTCTGGATAACTCTTTAGACTTTTCCTTAATTTTCCTTCCCTTTTTGTGSAACACTTGTTCTTAATATAGCTCCAACAAGGTCACATGCCTACTTTGGAAAACGATTTAAACTTTTTTCTAAACTTCGATTTTCCGAGTTGAAATTTAATGCTGATTCCAAATCTGGAAAGAAAAGTTGGGTGTCCCTTGCTCGTTTTCGAGATAATCAGCATTTAATGGAAGCCTTGGATCTTGCACCACTGGAATGATTAGAAAACAATTAAGATTCATAAGATAAAAGTCATTTGCARACTCTTCTATAATTGCACGAATGAAGGCTTGTCAATCATTCTACAATAATACATAGATGTTTTYGACAAAAAGACTAAGAGATACATTGATTTGTCATATTTTGTAGTTTCGGTGCTATTAAAAAATCTCATAAAGTCGAACAAAAATCCATGCAAACATACATATTTTCATGTGTTAGGAATTATATAAACTTTTTTCTAAAATGTTGATATGCTTAGATTTTTAGGAGTTTTTTCGAATGAGCTATTAAAAAATAGAGTCCCGTGCAAAATTCGAGGGTTTTGCCCTGTTGAAGCTCGAAACGCGTATGGTTCTTCAATAAAATGTTGTAGATTTTTCAGCGGTTTTTGAGYGCACGCACATCGTGGGCTCAAATCGAACGTTCAAAAGTTGGCAGCCACCTTAAACTCTTCTTTCGAATCCTTCGAATGCTCAACAAATGACGCCTATTTTTGTGGAAGCMCGCGATTTTTCGGTCAGCGTTCGCRAAATTCCCGGCTGGTCTGTCGGCCGATAAACGGTCGTTTCAATGGATGGCCGCTATCCAATCGACAATCCACGTCACAAACCGATTAATAGCCGACAAAGTCGAACAGCCGACTATAACGGCCGACAGGTCAGCCGGGGGCGCTATTCTAAACTTTTATCCACCCTACTGTAGGCCTTCTAGAACGATGTTATGACTTGGAGTTTCCGTCCAGCAAAATAAATAGCTTGAAAATATACTGTACATAAAAATGATTTAAGGTTACTGTAGACCTTCAGGGATATGTTTCGTTTAAGCTCACACGACACGTTCAACGAAACCCAATAAAACAATATATCATTTTAAAGGTCAGATAATGCATTTTATTATTSTTTTTAGAACGTATTTCTAGATAACGAAGTTCTTCTGGACAAAATCAAGTTCCAAGATCCTGATGATGATAARCAACCCAGTCTAAACCCACTAGAGAAAGCAGTTATCCTTTCATTTTGGTAA